AATCAAAGTACTCAATATTCTTCCCGAAGGCTTGAACCCTCGTGATTCTATTGTTGCACGACGTGATCGATTTGATGGCCAGATTACAAGTCACGGTGGTGACCATCTAGAGGTCCACTCGCAAGGTGTACCGTTCCAGTCCGTTCCTAAGGCTAATGTATATTGGCTCCCCGTAATCTGCTTAACCTTCTGATCTCAACTAATTCTTGCGTGTCTTGGTCATTTCATTCGATCACCCTCCTGGATTCCACGTCAAATACGCAGCAGTAAATCAACGTATATGACTTGTACGGTGAATACCACTGCGTTTTTCAATCAATACTGCATACATAATCTGTTTGAGGTAAGCTGGAACATCTCGGCATATGTAAGATCATCTTCCACATCTTGGTTTCTATATTTAGGCATTTGTTCAATCAATTGCGTATGGTCATTGTGTTAGAAAATGAGGATCACAAGCTCGACGCTGTAGATCTACGACAGGAACCTTTTAAAAGGTTTAACAAGAACTTATCAGTTCGTGTTGACAAGACACACTGAGGCAATGAAAAGACACGAGTTCTAAACTCGGACAGACCTTTTAAAAGGTTTAACAAGAACTTATCAGTTCGTGTTGACAAGACACACTGAGGCAATGAAAAGACACGAGTTCTAAACTCGGACAGACCTGAAAGACAAGGAGGATTATAGATAAGAAGTTTAGAATCTTTTTCCTTAATCAGCAAAAGAGAAAAAGAAAATAAGCCCCATACAACACACCTTTTAAAAGGTTTAACAAGAACTTATCAGTTCGTGTTGACAAGACACACTGAGGCAATGAAAAGACACGAGTTCTAAACTCGGACAGACCTGAAAGACAAGGAGGATTATAGATAAGAACTAGTAGAGTGAAGATGTATGAGGTAGAAGAGAAACGTGAGTTTTTAGTAAGATAGTAAAGAAGAGAAAAAGAAATTGGCAATAACTCACGTTTAGAATCTTTTTCCTTAATGAGGGAAAAAGATCTAAATGTGAGGAGAGGCTTGGTTATAAGTAAAAACAACAAATGGCAATTTTGAGAATCAGAAACACTACGTCCACATTCTAAATAAACTACCAGTCCCAATCCGGTAATTTCTTCTAATGTTTCCATAACGTGATTAGTTCACCAATCCCAATGCGGTCAATCCTTCTACACAACAACTCAACCTCTTGACCACGTATTCTAAATTGACTTGTTTGATTCTAATTTGTTCACAGTGCATTTCTTACCATCCTCACTACACTAGCTTAAGTTAACCTGAATACTACTCCCTGACCTTCATTGGTTTTGACCAATCCACAATTTACTCCAACACACCCCCTCAAGACCAATGAGGTCACTTGATTCCCAATTTGCTCCTAAGTTTGGTGAACTGCTGCTTGCCAAGAGCTACTGTGAGTAAGTCAGCAACCATCTCTTCAGTTGGACAGTGTTTAAGAGAAATGTCACCCCAGCTGACAGCTTTGTGAATCCAATGAAAGTTAATCTCATTATTCCAGGTTCACATGTGAAACATTGATCTGTTGATACGGCAAATGGTACCAA